CCACTCCTGACACTGGGCCTCACCTGCCGTGACCTCCACTCCTGACACTGGGCCTCACCTGCCGTGACCTCCACTCCTGACACTGGGCCTCACCTGCCGTGACCTCCACTCCTGACACTGCTGGACCTCACCTGCCGTGACCTCCACTCCTGACACTGCTGGACCTCACCTGCCGTGACCTCCACTCCTGACACTGGATCTCACCTGCCGTGACCTCCACTCCTGACACTGGGCCTCACCTGCCGTGACCTCCACTCCTGACTCTGCTGGATCTCACCTGCTGTGACCTCCACTCCTGACACTGCTGGATCTCACCTGCCGTGACCTCCACTCCTGACACTGGGCCTCACCTGCCGTGACCTCCACTCCTGACTCTGCTGGATCTCACCTGCTGTGACCTCCACTCCTGACACTGCTGGACCTCACCTGCCGTGACCTCCACTCCTGACACTGGGCCTCACCTGCCGTGACCTCCACTCCTGACACTGGGCCTCACCTGCTGTGACCTCCACTCCTGACACTGGGCCTCACCTGCCGTGACCTCCACTCCTGACTCTGCTGGACCTCACCTGCCGTGACCTCCACTCCTGACACTGGGCCTCACCAACCATGGCCTCCACTCCTGACACTGCTGGACCTCACCTGCCGTGACCTCCACTCCTGACACTGGACTTCACCTGCCGTGACCTCCACTCCTGACTCTGCTGGACCTCACCTGCCGTGACCTCCACTCCTGACTCTGCTGGACCTCACCTGCCGTGACCTCCACTCCTGACACTGGGCCTCACCTGCCGTGACCTCCACTCATGACACTGGGCCTCACCTGCCGTGACCTCCACTCCTGACTCTGCTGGGCCTCACCTGCTGTGACCTCCACTCATGACACTGGGCCTCACCTGCCGTGACCTCCACTCCTGACTCTGCTGGGCCTCACCTGCTGTGACCTCCACTCCTGACACTGGGCCTCACCTGCCGTGACCTCCACTCATGACACTGGGCCTCACCTGCCGTGACCTCCACTCCTGACACTGGGCCTCACCTGCCGTGGCCTCCACTCCTGACTCTGCTGGACCTCACCTGCCGTGACCTCCACTCCTGACACTGGGCCTCACCAACCATGGCCTCCACTCCTGACACTGCTGGATCTCACCTGCCGTGACCTCCACTCCTGACACTGCTGGACCTCACCTGCCGTGACCTCCACTCCTGACTCTGCTGGACCTCACCTGCCGTGACCTCCACTCCTGACACTGCTGGGCCTCACCTGCCGTGACCTCCACTCCTGACTCTGCTGGACCTCACCTGCCGTGACCTCCACTCCTGACTCTGCTGGACCTCACCTGCCGTGACCTCCACTCCTGACACTGCTGGGCCTCACCTGCCGTGACCTCCACTCCTGACACTGCTGGGCCTCACCTGCCGTGACCTCCACTCCTGACACTGGGCCTCACCTGCCGTGACCTCCACTCCTGACACTGGGCCTCACCTGCCGTGACCTCCACTCCTGACACTGGGCCTCACCTGCCGTGACCTCCACTCCTGACACTGGGCCTCACCTGCCGTGACCTCCACTCCTGACACTGGGCCTCACCTGCCGTGACCTCCACTCCTGACTCTGCTGGACCTCACCTGCCGTGACCTCCACTCCTGACACTGGGCCTCACCTGCCGTGACCTCCACTCCTGACACTGGGCCTCACCTGCCGTGACCTCCACTCCTGACACTGCTGGACCTCACCTGCCGTGACCTCCACTCCTGACTCTGCTGGGCCTCACCTGCCGTGACCTCCACTCCTGACACTGGGCCTCACCTGCCGTGACCTCCACTCCTGACTCTGCTGGGCCTCACCTGCCGTGACCTCCTCTCCTGACACTGGGCCTCACCTGCCGTGACCTCCACTCCTGACACTGGACTTCACCTGCCGTGACCTCCACTCCTGACTCTGCTGGACCTCACCTGCCGTGACCTCCACTCCTGACACTGGGCCTCACCTGCCGTGACCTCCACTCATGACACTGGGCCTCACCTGCCGTGACCTCCACTCCTGACTCTGCTGGGCCTCACCTGCTGTGACCTCCACTCATGACACTGGGCCTCACCTGCCGTGACCTCCACTCCTGACTCTGCTGGGCCTCACCTGCTGTGACCTCCACTCCTGACACTGGGCCTCACCTGCAGTGACCTCCACTCATGACACTGGGCCTCACCTGCCGTGACCTCCACTCCTGACACTGGGCCTCACCTGCCGTGGCCTCCACTCCTGACTCTGCTGGACCTCACCTGCCGTGACCTCCACTCCTGACACTGGGCCTCACCAACCATGGCCTCCACTCCTGACACTGCTGGATCTCACCTGCCGTGACCTCCACTCCTGACACTGCTGGACCTCACCTGCCGTGACCTCCACTCCTGACTCTGCTGGACCTCACCTGCCGTGACCTCCACTCCTGACACTGCTGGGCCTCACCTGCCGTGACCTCCACTCCTGACTCTGCTGGACCTCACCTGCCGTGACCTCCACTCCTGACTCTGCTGGACCTCACCTGCCGTGACCTCCACTCCTGACACTGCTGGGCCTCACCTGCCGTGACCTCCACTCCTGACACTGCTGGGCCTCACCTGCCGTGACCTCCACTCCTGACACTGGGCCTCACCTGCCGTGACCTCCACTCCTGACACTGGGCCTCACCTGCCGTGACCTCCACTCCTGACACTGGGCCTCACCTGCCGTGACCTCCACTCCTGACACTGGGCCTCACCTGCCGTGACCTCCACTCCTGACACTGGGCCTCACCTGCCGTGACCTCCACTCCTGACTCTGCTGGACCTCACCTGCCGTGACCTCCACTCCTGACACTGGGCCTCACCTGCCGTGACCTCCACTCCTGACACTGGGCCTCACCTGCCGTGACCTCCACTCCTGACTCTGCTTGGCCTCACCTGCCGTGACCTCCTCTCCTGACACTGGGCCTCACCTGCCGTGACCTCCACTCCTGACACTGGGCCTCACCTGCCGTGACCTCCACTCCTGACTCTGCTGGGCCTCACCTGCTGTGACCTCCACTCCTGACACTGGGCCTCACCTGCCGTGACCTCCACTCATGACACTGGGCCTCACCTGCCGTGACCTCCACTCCTGACACTGGACTTCACCTGCCGTGACCTCCACTCCTGACTCTGCTGGACCTCACCTGCCGTGACCTCCACTCCTGACACTGGGCCTCACCTGCCGTGACCTCCACTCCCGACACTGGACTTCACCTGCCGTGACCTCCACTCCTGACACTGGGCCTCACCTGCCATGGCCTCCACTCCTGACACTGCTGGACCTCACCTGTGGTGACCTCCACTCCTGACCTCCAGGCCTGGCTCATCTGCAGCTTGTTCTGACATCATGGTGTGACCAGCTTCCTCCCTCCCTGAGTGCGAGTCCACCCACTGCTCGCTCCCCCTTCCTGTCCCAGGGAATGGCCAGGCCCACGGCACCCCAAATGACCCCGCTCCCCAGCTAGGACTGGCCCGTGACCCGTGGGCCGCTGCAGGGTGCTTGGGCATGCCTGCAGGGATTCTGGCCGGCCCCCCTCCTCCTCCTGCGTGTGCTCCTAAGCAGCGGCCAGCGACGCTTCCTGAGCCACGTGGCGTGGCGTCCAGGCCTCCCCTGCTTGGCTGCACAACGCGGTGGCGCCTGCTCGGCCTGCCAGGCTCTGCCTCGCAGCCCCCTGGCTGCGCTCACCAGCAGTGTGCCTCCGTGCCCCCGGCGCAAGCCACTCCCCACCAGGAGGCCAGCCGCGGCTGGGTGACGCGCGGTAGACGTTAGGATCTGGTCTGGGGTGGGGACAGAGGTAGGACCAGGTAGAGGGCTCTATGTGCATCCAGCTTACACACACACACACACACACACACACACACACACACACACACAAAGACCTGGGGACAGGTGGGCACCCACCGCGGGGCTCTGACCCTGCAGTGCCCCAAGCACCTCTGTCCTGATCCCACCTAGGATGCTGTGTGTCCTGACCCGCGCCCTGTGGACACGGTCCAGGCCAGGCCCTCACTGTCTGGGAGTGGGGGGCACCGTGGGGACCGTGGGTGGTGGGAGGGCCAGCGCTTCACTGTCTGAGGCAGGAGGGGGTCTGCGGTCGCAGGCTGCGCTGTGGCACCCGGAGGAAGGAGTGGAGAACCCTGCCGGGGAGCGGCGGAGGCGCAGCGCAAGGCCCCTTCCCGGGACAGGCCCGGGCGGCGTTTCCACAGTGACGTTTATGTGAACTCAGGGGGCTACAAAGACCCCGGCTTCCCTCCTCCCGTCTACTCCTTCCCAGGTCTCCACGCTCCGTGTCTGTCCAAGCCCAGGATGAAGCATAGGAGAAGGCACAGGGCTAGCCAGGGTAGTACCGCCAACACCTGGAAGGAGAGAAGGTGACACTCGGAACACCTGGACACCAGCTCGAGACCTGGCAGAGGCCTAGCTTCCCCCAGAGCCTGGCACAGAGGCCCGGATCCCTCCAGAGCCTGGCACAGAGGCCCAGATCCCTCCAGAGCCTGGCACAGAGGCCCGGATCCCTCCAGAGCCTGGCACAGAGGCCCGGATCCCTCCAGAGCCTGGCACAGAGGCCCGGCTGCACCTTGATGATGCTGGCCTTGCTCTCGACTCCCCTACCCTGTACAGTCCCGTAGTTTTCTGTCCCCTCTGGGCATGTCCCGCCCAGCTGCTCCTCCTTCTGGGACATGTTCCTGGAAGACACAGTGACCAGAACTCACCGGTTCATCCGAGGGGGGCTGGGGGCTGGCTCCCCCCCAGCCCGGGACTGCCCGTCTGACCGATGGCTGCCGGCTCACCTGAGAGGATGGGGGAGAGCGGGGGGGGGGGGCGCTGCTTCTCCTGCCCCTCTGGGGGAGAGCGGGGGGGTGCTGCTTCCCCTGCCCCTCAGTCTGGCTGGGGCACTGGGGGCCCTGGTGCTGGGGCGGATGGCAGGTCCAGCCCTCAGAGAGCTGAAAGCTTAGGGCAGCAGCTCACTGGGTTCTGAGCCCCGTGCGCTCCCATCACCGGCTCCAGGCCGGGGCACGGGCTCCGCGGGCTCTGTGGGCACCCAGGCTACCCAGTCCCCTGATGACAACTTCGGGGGGGCTTCAGCTGACTCCCGACAGGAAGCAGGGGTCCCCACTGCCCACCCTGGCGGGTGCCTGGCACCTTGATCATCGCGGCTCCTGTCCGGGGACGTGGGTCCAGGCCCGCCCGGCTCCGCGGTCCCCACGAGGATGGGCATCGGGGGCCTGGCGTTCTCCTGGAGGAAGGAGTTGAGCCTCCGCACGTGCACTGGGAGAGGGTGGGTTCGGCGGGCGTCAGCGGGCGTCAGCCAGCCCAGACTCGCGCCCAGGACGCAGACGGACCGCCCGCCTCACTCACTCTGAATGGCCGACTCGCAGGCCTGGCTCACCAGCTGGAAGATGGCGGTGAGTGACTGGGGCTCTCCCTGAGAGGAAGCCGTGGCTCTGAGATCCGTGGCCGGGACCCGGGGCACCCGGGCCGGCCCGGAGCCCCACACCCGCTTCTCAGCCACACCCACCTTCTCTCCGCGCTCCCCTTTGGGCCCCGGCAGCCCCTGCGGCAGGAGGCAATGCAGAAAACCGTCAGCAGCGCAGGTCCCACAGGCTGTGCCCCGATCAGGGGCTGGGATCCCCATGCAGCCTGGGATCCCGGCCCAGGCCAGGCGGAGCCAAGGTCCCAGGAGCAGAGGCCGCTGGGGGCCCGCGGTGGCCCCATGGGGAGCAGCCTGGGTAGGGCCAGCTTGCGGCAGAGCAGCGCCCCCACAGGGGGGGGGGCTTTGCAGCAGGTGTCTCCTCCTGGGGAGTGTCTGCTCGCTCCCTCCCCTCTCCCCCAGCCCGCCAGAGCCAGTCCCTTCCCCCACTGAGCTGCTAGAGCCCCCACCGTGCCACAGCCAAGATGCCTGCCAGCGTGCAGAGCCCAGGCTGTGGCTCTGCCCCCCAGCCTGGAGGAGCACAGGGCAGGCCCGGCCCGGGAAGGGAGCCCTGAGCCCGCACAGCCCTGGTGGGCAGGAGGCCACTTACCGTGGGTCCCACGGCCCCTGGGGGCCCGCGCTCCCCATTGGAGCCCCTGCTCCCTGCCAGGCCCTGGAGCCCCTGCAGGGATGGAGAAGGTGGGGCTCCATGTGAGCCTTGAGGGAGGCGACCCTCCAGTCTAGACCTGAACATCCAGCACCCCTGCCCTTGCCAGCAAAGCCAGGCACCTGAGCCTGCCCCAGCCCCCGCCCCTCTCAGGGCCCAGGGCTGACCCCACCCATCCCAAGGCCCAGGGCTGACCCCGCCCCTCCCAAGGCCCAGGGCTGACCCCACCCATCCCAAGGCCCAGGGCTGACCCCACCCATCCCAAGGCCCAGGGCTGAGCCCGCCCCTCTCAGGGCCCAGGGCTGACCCCGCCCCTCTCTGGGCCCAGGGCTGACCCCACCCATCCCAAGGCCCAGGGCTGAGCCCGCCCCTCTCAGGGCCCAGGGCTGACCCCACCCATCCCAAGGCCCAGGGCTGACCCCACCCATCCCAAGGCCCAGGGCTGACCCCACCCCTCCCAAGGCCCAGGGCTGACCCCACCCATCCCAAGGCCCAGGGCTGACACCGCCCCTCTCAGGGCCCAGGGCTGACCCCACCCATCCCAAGGCCCAGGGCTGACCCCACCCATCCCAAGGCCCAGGGCTGACCCCGCCCCTCTCAGGGCCCAGGGCTGACCCCGCCCCTCTCTGGGCCATGGCTGACCCCCATTCCCCAGTGGCCCGCAGCACTTCTGCACTGAAGAGCCAGGTTGTGCTTGGCTGACCAGCAGGGCCCAGCACCCCCTCAGCTGCGCCCTCCCCCATGGAGCCCTGTGGGGTCCCAGGTAAGCCTCAGCTGCCCAGAGACCCTACCCTGGGGTCCCATGGTACTGAGCCCAAAGCAAAGACCCTGGGAAGCCCAGGGGGCAGCTCCCCAAGTCTTTCGGCTAACCCGGCCCACCTGCCCCCTCCTGGCCAGCCAGGACCCCCGTGCTCTGCCCTGTGGAGTCGGGGTACAGGTGTGAGGGGCTGTGTGGGGCTCCAGGAATGAGCACCCGGCACGGGCACCGAGCTCCGGGCAGATGGAGCCCTGCAGAAGGCGCGGTGGAGGCGGCACGCCTCAGGCCACCACGGAGCGGCGGCCACCGGTCCCTTCTTCCCAGATTCCCACCTGCCGCGGGGGGGGGGGGGGGGGGTGTCCTACCCTGGGGCCGGGGGATCCAGGCAGGCCGGCCGGTCCCTCCAGTCCTCTCATTCCCTGACGGGCAGAGGAAGGGCAAACTCACCAGAGTCCCACACAGAGCCTCACCCCGTGATGGACGCAGGCGACACCCCAGAAGGTGGAGTTGGCACCCACTTGTTCCCTCTAAGCCGCTGCCCATCGCCAAGTCCCTGGACAGCACAGTGCTTGTCCCAGGTGCACAGTACCACACCACCAGGCCACGGCCTCCCCTCCCCCCACTCCCACAGCCTCCATCCACAGCCTCCTTTCCCTCCCCCCCGATTCCCTCAGGCTCCATCCACGGCCTCCCTTCCCTCCTCCCAACTCCCACAGCCTCCATCCACGGCCTCCCTCCCCTCCTCCCAACTCCCACAGCCTCCATCCACAGCCCCCTCCTCCCAACTCCCACAGCCTCCATCCACGGCCTCCCTTCCCTCCTCCCCATACCCACAGCCTCCATCCACGGCCTCCCCTTCCCTCCCCCCGATTCCCTCAGCCTCCATCCATGGCCTCCCCTCCCCCCATACCCACAGCCTCCATCCACAGCCTCCCCTTCCCTCCCCCCATTCCCACAGCCTCCGTCCACGGCCTCCCCTCCCCCCATTCCCACAGCCTCCATCCATGGCCCCCCTCCCCCGATTCCTTCAGCCTCTATCCACGGCCTCCCCTCCCCCCATTCTCACAGCCTCCATCCACGGCCTCCCCTTCCCTCCACCCATTCCCACAGCCTCCATCCACGGCCTCCTCCTCCCAACTCCCACAGCCTCCATCCACAGCCCCCTCCTCCCAACTCCCACAGCCTCCATCCACAGCCCCCTCCTCCCAACTCCCACAGCCTCCATCCACGGCCCCCTCCTCCCAACTCCCACAGCCTCCATCCACAGCCCCCTCCTCCCAACTCCCACAGCCTCTGTCCACAGCCTCCCCTCCTCCCAACTCCCACAGCCTCTGTCCACAGCCTCCCCTCCCCTCTTCCCGACTCCCACAGCCTCCGTCCATGGCCTCACCCCTATTCCCACAGCCTCGGTCCACGGCCTTCCCTCCTCCTGACTCTACAACCTCCGTCCACGGCCTCCTCATAGCCTGACACCAAGCCTCTGTCCCTCACTGCCCCCAGGTCAGCTCTCCCCGTCCACTCAGTGCCTTTGGGCGCAGAGCCCGTACCTTTGGCCCTTGGAGGCCGGCTCTCCCAGGGGTGCCTGGCTGGCCAGGGTGGCCCTGGAGGGAACAAAAGCACTGGGCAGTGGCCAAGGTCATACCAGAGGAGTCCGGCCTGTGCCCCGCCACAGCCCTGCGCAAGGTACCTGCGCGCCCGCGAGTCCATGGTCCCCCTTTTCTCCTTTGACCCCTGGTGGACCCTGGAGGGAAAGGTAGATTGGGCAGTGGGGGAAAGGGAGGGGAGGAGAAGGGCGGGGGAGGGGAGCACTTACCATGGGCCCCTGGATGGTGCGGCCCCGGGTCCCCGGTGACCCCTGCTGACCTCCGGGGCCCTCTGGCCCTGTCTGCCCGGGTGGCCCTGGCTCTCCCTGGAAACAGGCCGAGGTGAGGAGGACTGAGAAGGCATGTCCCCGGCCCCCCGCCGCGACGCCTCACCCGTCACAGACAACCAACGTCCTCCACCTCAGAGGCCCGCAGGGCCCGAAGCCACAGCACGGCCACGCACGCGGGGCCACGCACGCGGAGCCACGCACGCGGGCTGCACCGCGAGCCGGGGGAGACGGCCAGAGCAGCACCGTGTCCAGCAGACGGGGCCTCCTCAGGCAGCGCCCGCCAGGGTTAGGAACGTGTGCGCGGGAAGCTGCGGGTGGAGGGCCGTGGGGATGACGCTGTGTGTGTGTGTGTGTGAGGCTGTGGAGGGCCGTGGGGATGACTGTGTGTGTGTGTGTGCACATGCGCGTGTGCGGGAAGCTGCGGGTGGAGGGCCGTGGGGATGACGCTGTGTGTGTGTGTGTGTGTGTGAGGCTGTGGAGGGCCGTGGGGATGACGCTGTGTGTGTGTGTGTGTGTGTGCACATGCGCGTGTGCGGGAAGCTGCGGGTGGAGGGCCGTGGGGATGACGCTGTGTGTGTGTGTGTGTGTGCACATGCGCGTGTGCGGGAAGCTGCGGGTGGAGGGCCGTGGGGATGACGCTGTGTGTGTGTGTGTGTGTGTGAGGCTGTGGAGGGCCGTGGGGATGACGCTGTGTGTGTGTGTGTGTGTGTGTGCACATGCGCGTGTGCGGGAAGCTGCGGGTGGAGGGCCGTGGGGATGACGCTGTGTGTGTGTGTGTGTGTGTGCACATGCGCGTGTGCGGGAAGCTGCGGGTGGAGGGCCGTGGGGATGACGCTGTGTGTGTGTGTGTGTGTGTGAGGCTGTGGAGGGCCGTGGGGATGACGCTGTGTGTGTGTGTGTGTGTGTGTGTGTGTGTGCACATGCGCGTGTGCGGGAAGCTGCGGGTGGAGGGCCGTGGGGATGACGCTGTGTGTGTGTGTGTGTGTGTGCACATGCGCGTGTGCGGGAAGCTGCGGGTGGAGGGCCGTGGGGATGACGCTGTGTGTGTGTGTGTGTGTGTGAGGCTGTGGAGGGCCGTGAGGATGACGCTGTGTGTGTGTGTGTGTGTGTGTGCACATGCGCGTGTGCGGGAAGCTGCGGGTGGAGGGCCGTGGTGATGACTGTGTGTGTGTGTGCGCGGGAAGCTGTGATGATCGCTGCGTGTGCGGGAAGCTGCGGGTGGAGGGCCGTGGTGATGACACTGTGTGTGTGTGTGTGTGTGTGTGTGTGTGTGTGTGCGCGGGAAGCTGTGGTGATCGCTGTGTGTGTGCGAAGCTGCGGGTGGAGTTAGGTGAGAGGAACGTGGAACACGGGGAGGGCAGTCCCGTGAGACGCAGAGCTCGCGCTGGGGCGCGCTGCGGCTCTGAAGGGAGCTGCTGCAGGCGGGTCTGCAGAGGCTGCAGTTGGCTCCCATCCCCCTCAAACCAGGCCTACGAAATTCCTTCTAGACATTTCTGGATAGACACGTTCTACTCTCCGACTAAGGAATAGCTTTTGAAGTTGGTCATGAAGCCCCAAAGCCACACAAGACAGCAACAACATGGACTGTGGGGGGGGGACACAGGACACCTCCCCAGCCCTCCTCCTTCCCCGTGGACTGTAGGGGGGGACACAGGACACCTCCCCAGCCCTCCTCCTTCCCCGTGGACTGTGGGGGGGGACACAGGACACCTCCCCAGCCCTCCTCCTTCCCCGTGGACTGTGGGGGGGCAGGACAGCTCCGCAGCCCTCCTCCTTCCCCGTGGACTGTGGGGGGGGGACACAGGACACCTCCCCAGCCCTCCTCCTTCCCCGTGGACTGTGGGGGGGACACAGGACACCTCCCCAGACCTCCTCCTTCCCCGTGGACTGTGAGGGGGGACACAGGACACCTCCCCAGCCCTCCTCCTTCCCCGTGGACTGTGGGGACACAGGACAGCTCCCCAGCCCTCCTCCTTCCCCGTGGACTGTGGGGGGGCAGGACAGCTCCGCAGCCCTCCTCCTTCCCCGTGGACTGTGGGGGGGGCAGGACAGCTCCCCAGACCTCCTCCTTCCCCGTGGACTGTGGGGGGGGGGACACAGGACACCTCCGCAGCCCTCCTCCTTCCCCGTGGACTGTGAGGGGGGACACAGGACAGCTCCCCAGCCCTCCTCCTTCCCCGTGGACTGTGGGGACACAGGACACCTCCGCAGCCCTCCTCCTTCCCCGTGGACTGTGGGGGGGGGCACAGGACACCTCCGCAGCCCTCCTCCTTCCCCGTGGACTGTGGGGACACAGGACACCTCCCCAGACCTCCTCCTTCCCCGTGGACTGTGAGGGGGGACACAGGACACCTCCGCAGCCCTCCTTCTTCCCCGTGGACTGTGGGGGAGGACACAGGACACCTCCGCAGCCCTCCTCCTTCCCCGTGGACTGTGGGGACACAGGACACCTCCCCAGCCCTCCTCCTTCCCCGTGGACTGTGGGGGGGACACAGGACACCTCCCCAGCCCTCCTCCTTCCCCGTGGACTGTGGGGACACAGGACACCTCCCCAGCCCTCCTCCTTCCCCGTGGACTGTGGGGGGGGGACACAGGACACCTCCCCAGACCTCCTCCTTCCCCGTGGACTGTGGGGGGGGCAGGACACCTCCCCAGCCCTCCTCCTTCCCCGTGGACTGTGGGGACACAGGACACCTCCCCAGCCCTCCTCCTTCCCCGTGGACTGTGGGGACACAGGACAGCTCCGCAGCCCTCCTCCTTCCCCGTGGACTGTGGGGGGGGGACACAGGACACCTCCCCAGCCCTCCTCCTTCCCCGTGGACTGTGGGGACACAAGACACCTCCCCAGCCCTCCTCCTTCCCCGTGGACTGTGGGGACACAGGACAGCTCCCCAGCCCTCCTCCTTCCCCGTGGACTGTGGCTGGGGACACAGGACAACTCCGCAGCCCTCCTCCTTCCCCGTGGACTGGGGGGGGGACACAGGACAGCTCCCCAGCCCTCCTCCTTCCCCGTGGACTGTGGGGGGGACACAGGACAGCTCCGCAGCCCTCCTCCTTCCCCGTGGACTGTGGGGGGGGGACACAGGACACCTCCCCAGCCCTCCTCCTTCCCCGTGGACTGTGGGGGGGGCAGGACAGCTCCCCAGACCTCCTCCTTCCCCGTGGACTGTGGGGGGGGACACAGGACACCTCCGCAGCCCTCCTCCTTCCCCATGGACTGTGGGGGGGGGACACAGGACACCTCCCCAGACCTCCTCCTTCCCCGTGGACTGGGGGGGGACACAGGACACCTCCGCAGCCCTCCTCCTTCCTCCTGGACTGGGGGGGCAGGACAGCTCCCCAGCCCTCCTCCTTGCTCGTGTGGCCCACTGGGGAATGAGATCAGGTGCTCGACCACCTGAGCCACCCTGACAGCCCGTTTTGTTCATTTAGGACTGGATCCTCCTCGATGCCCAGGCGAGCCAGAAGCACAGCGTTCCCATGCATGCCTCCTTCAGTGGCTGAGATGACAAATCCATCACGATGCAGAGCCATTGCTTGAGATGGACTCATAATCTTTTCTTTCTAGGTTGGCCTCACACTACGATCGTTTGGATCTCTGTCTCCTAAGTAGCTAGGATCATAGGCAGGCACCACTGTGCCTGGCCACAACATCGCGCGCATCCGTACCCTGTGCATGCAGTGTCAAGGCCTCATCATTTCTAGAACCAGGGAGAAGGGTGTTGTCCACGCTGGCCTGAAAAACTGTCACCAGAGGACATGGATTCCTCACTGTCTCCACAGACACGGCCTACACCTACAGAGACCAGGCACCTCCACAGAGCACACACCTCCACAGAGCTCACACCTCCACAGAACTCACACCTCCACAGAGCACATACCTCCACAGAGCTCACACCTCCACAGAACACACACCTCCACAGAACACACACCTCCACAGAACACACACCTCCACAGAACACACACCTCCACAGGGCACACACCTCCACAGAACACACACCTCCACAGAACACACACCTCCAGAGAGCACACACCTCCACAGAACACACACCTCCACAGAACACACACCTCCACAGAACACACACCTCCACAGAACACACACCTCCACAGAACACACACCTCCACAGAACACACACCTCCACAGAACACACACCTCCACAGAGCACACACCTCCACAGAGCACACACCTCCACAGAACACACACCTCCACAGGGCACACACCTCCACAGAACACACACCTCCACAGAACACACACCTCCACAGAACACACACCTCCACAGAACACACACCTCCACAGAACACACACCTCCACAGAACACACACCTCCACAGAGCACACACCTCCACAGAGCACACACCTCCACAGGGCACACACCTCCACAGGGCACACACCTCCACAGAACACACACCTCCACAGAACACACACCTCCACAGAACACACACCTCCACAGAACACACACCTCCACAGAGCACACACCTCCAAAGAGCACACACCTCCACAGAACACACACCTCCACAGAACACACACCTCCACAGAACACACACCTCCACAGAGCTCACACCTCCACAGAACACACACCTCCACAGAACACACACCTCCACAGAGCACACACCTCCACAGAGCACACACCTCCACAGAGCACACACCTCCACAGAGCACACACCTCCACAGAACACACACCTCCACAGAGCACACACCTCCACAGAGCACACACCTCCACAGAGCACACACCTCCACAGAGCTCACACCTCCACAGAGCTCACACCTCCACAGACCACACACCTCCACAGAGCACACACCTCCACAGAGCACACACCTCCACAGAGCTCACACCTCCACAGAGCACACACCTCCACAGAACACACACCTACGCAGAACACACACCTCCGCAGAACACACACCTCCACAGAACACACACCTCCACAGAACACACACCTACGCAGAACACACACCTCCGCAGAACACACACCTCCGCAGAACACACACCTCCACAGAGCACACACCTCCACAGAGCTCACACCTCCACAGAACACACA